GGGGGGGGGGGGGCAGGCATCAGCAAAAGGCATCTGAGCACAGCCTCCCCGACCTGAGAGGCGTTCCTGGGGCCTCTCTCCAGCCCCTTTCCTTATCAAGCTTCTCCTCTTGGTGCGCTTTCAGCTATCGGCCGAAGCTGGCGCTCGCCTGCGAGCAGCCTCGGGGTCCCTTTTCCTTTTCTGGGAAGTCAGCGGCCCCGAGGGTCTCAACCGCCCAAAAGCAGAGCTGGCTCCTTCGGACAGGGAAGGGGAAGCCCAGCTGCCCCAGAGTAGCAATAGAGTGCAGCACCCAGCCCTTTTCTGTCGAGGGCACGACTGAGCAGATCTGGGCACAAATGTCAGGCATTGATGACCTTGCTGAATGTTTGGAGGCAGCCATGTTCAAGTCACTGGTGCGCCACACCTGGAAAGCCAGCACCCGCTGCTCCTCCTGCAGACCAAAGCCCTTCCGTAGCTACCACATTTTGCAGCTGGAGGGAGGCTCTGCTCCTGAGCATCCCCCCAATTCCCTTCTTAAACAGCTACTGGGGTCAACGTGCACTCCTGTTTGTATGCCGGTATGTTCCATGCATGCTGTACAACTGCAGAAATGGATCACTGCCATCTGCTGAAGGTTGTACAGACCATCTTGGCTACGGCAAAAACAAGTTTGCAGCAACAGCAACACGCTTTTCCTCCTATTTCAGACTGCTGAATCACCACAAATTTGGGAGCTTATCTGTACCATACACATGTGCTTTTGGGCACATGTGAGCTCTCTCCCTCCCCTTCGGAGAGCCGCTCTGTGCGCCTAGTGGAGAGCCTCCTGCCCGTGCTATGACCAGCCAGCACCCTTGCAGGTGGCTGAGAACACAAGACACCTTCTCCAGGAGGGGGAAAGAAACCCTCCGAGCAGCAAAGAGCCGGGTGGGCTGGCACCTTCGGGGCCCAAATCCAAATGGCTTCCGATGAGGCAACTCAAGGTTCTCCCGCACAATCCCTATAAATACGAGCGGGCCTTTTGCAGGAGAAATTCCCTCTGGGTTGTCCCACCACGAGTCTGGCTAACTCATCGCCGCTGCCACCGTGCACAGCATCCTCACCAGGTGCATCAGAAGGGAAGGGGCCTGGGGGGGTGCTGTGAAAACAGAGCATCTAGCAACAGGCGATGCCTACGAGACTTGGAAAGGCTGGTACCAACCCAAGTGCCCTGCTTCTGTCTCTGGCGAAAGGGATTCCCTGCACTCCCAAAGTATGGCAGGAATCCCACAAGGCGCTCACACATTCCAAGGTCTGCAACTCGGACAGCCTGGGGTCCCACACTTCGCCACTGAGCATCCTCAGGCGCGCTCACACCAGGGCTAAAAACAAAGCCACGTCCACCCGCTCCACGGGATCTCGAGCCCCAGCTTGGAGATCCAGCTGCAATGTGGCAAGAGCAATAAGGATTTTTAGGGGCATTATGGTAGCATGGAAGAACACAGCTGCCCCCAAAAGTCCCTCATTTTCCCTGCGTGAAGAGCCACAGGTTGAAGGTCTCTGGAGCATCCTGGGGAGAATCCGAGGGTGCCTTCCTGCTCCTCCCTCCCAGCTGACCTTTCAGCAGCTGCCTTTGAAATGGGAAGATGCAGGAGGAAGCAAATCCGGGCGAAATGGCCGGAGCGCCCGGAGCCAGTCAGGCCAACGAACCCCACCCTGGCCAGTCCGTCTCTTCTGTCCCGTCCGCAGCCATCCTTGTGGGGCTGTCTCTTCCCCTCCAGCGTCCTCCCCAAACGGAGGTGTTCCTCCCTGCTCTGGAAGCTGCTCCTCCCTGCCCTCGGTGGCGGCCTCCAGCCAGCCTTTGGTCCGCCCTCG